AAGAAGTAAGGACACAGAGGCACTGAACAACACCCTGGAACAGATGGTCCTAATAGACATCTATAGAACTCTACATCCAAAAGCAAGAGGATACACATTCTTCTCACATGGAACACTCTCCAGAATAGACCACATACTAGGCCACAAAAAGAGCCTCAGTAAATTCCAGAAGATTGAAATCCTACCAACCACCTTTTCAGATCACAAAGGTATAAAACTAGAAATAAATTGTACAAAGAAAGCAGAAAGGCTCACAACACATGGAGGCTTAACAGCATGCTCCTAAATAATTAATGGATCAACGACCAAATTAAAATGGAGATCCAGCAATATATGGAAACAAATGACAACGACACAAAGCCCCGAGTTCTGTGAAATGCAGCAAAAGCAGTCTTAAGAGGAAAGTATATAGCAATCCAGGCATATTTAAAGAAGGAAGAACAATCCCAAATGAATGGTCTAATGTCACAATTATCAAAATTGGAAGAAGAACAAATGAGGCCTAAGGTCAGCAAAAGGAGGGGTATAATAAAGATCAGAGAAGAAATAAATAAAATTGAGAAGAATAAAACAATAGAAAAAATCAGTGAAACCAAGAGCTGGTTCTTCGAGAAAATAAACAAAATAGATAAGCCTCTAGCCAGACTTATTAAGAGAAAGAGAGAGTCAACACATACCAACAGAATCAGAAACGAGAAAGGAAAAATCACGACTGACCCCACAGAAATACAAAGAATTATTAGAGAGTACTATGAAAACCTATATGCTAACAAGTTGGAAAACCTAGGAGAAATGGACAACTTCCTAGAAAAATACAACCTTCCAAGACTGACCCAGAAAGAAACAGAAAATCTAAACAGACCAATTACCAGCAACGCAACTGAATCGGTAATCAAAAAACTACCCAAGAACAAAACCCCTGGGCCACATGGATTTACCTCAGAATTTTATCAGACATACAGAGAAGACGTAACACCCATTCTCCTTAAAGTTTTCCAAAAAATAGAAGAGGAGGGAATACTCCCAATCTCTTCTATGAAGCCAACATCACCCTAATACCAAAACCAGGCAAAGACCCCACCAAAAAAAGAAAACTACAGACCAATATCCCTGATGAACGTAGATGCAAAAATACTCAACAAAATATTAGCAAACCGAATTCAAAAATACATCAAGAGAATCATACACCATGACCAAGTGGGATTAATCCCAGGGATGCAAGGATGGTACAACATTCAAAAACCCATCAACATCATCCACCACATCAACAAAAAGAAAGACAAAAGCCACATGATCATCTCCATAGATGCTGAAAAAGCATTTGACAAAATTCAACATCCATTCATGATAAAAATTCTCAACTAAATGGACATAGAGGGGAAGTACCTCAACATAATAAAGGCCATATATGATAAACCCACAGCTAACATCATACTGAACAGTGAGAGACTGAAAGCTTTTCCTCTGAGATTGGGAACTAGGCAGGGATGCCCACTCTCCCCACTGTTATTCAACATAGTACTGGAGGTCCTACCCATGCAATTAGACAAAACAAAAAAATACAAGGAATCCACATTGGTAAAGAAGTCAAACTGTCACTATTTGCAGATGACATGATATTGTACATAAAAAACCCTGAAGACTCCACTCCAAAACTGCTAGAACTAATATCAGAATTCAGCAAAGTTGCAGGATACAAAATTAACACACAGAAATCTGTGGCTTTCTTATACACTAACAATGAACCAATAGAAAGAGAAATCAGGAAAAGAATTCCATTCACAATCGCATCAAAAAGAATAAAATACCTACAAATAAACCTAACCAAGGAAGTGAAAGACCTATACCCTGAAAACTATAAGACACTCTTAAGATAAATTAAAGAGGTCATTAACAAATGGGAACTCATCCCGTGCTCCTGGCTGGGAAGAATTAATATCGTCAAAATGGCCATCCTGCCCAAAGCAATATACAAATTCGATGCAATCCCTATCAAATTACCAACAGCATTCTTCAATGAACTGGAACAAATAGTTCAAAAATTCATATGGAACTGCCAAAGACCCCGAATAGCCAAAGCAATCCTGAGAAAAAAGAATAAAGTAGGTGGGATCTAGTTCCCCAACTTCAAGCTCTACTAGAAAGCCACAGTAATCAAGACAATTTGTACTGGCACAAGAACACAGACACAGACCAGTGGAACAGAATAGAGACTCCAGACATTAACCCAAACATATATGGCCAATCAGTATACAATAATAAAGGAGCCATGGATGTACAATGGGGAAATGACAGTGTCTTCAACAGATGGTGCTGGCAAAACTGGACAGCTACATGAAAGGGAATGAAACTGGATCACTGTCTAACCCCATACACAAAAGTAAATTCCAAATTCATCAAAGACCTGAATGTAAGTCATGAAACCATAAAACTCTTAGAAAAAAACATAGGCAAAAATCTCATGGACATAAACATGAGTGACTTCTTCATGAGCATATCTCCCCGGGCACGGGTAACAAAGGCAAAAATGAACAAGTGGGACTATATCAAGCTAAAAAGCTTCTGTAGAGCAAAGGATACCATCAATAGAACAAAAAGGTATCCTACAGTATGGGAGAATATATTCATATTCATAAATGACAGATCCAATAAAGGATTTGACATCCAAAATATATAAAGAGCTCATGTACCTCAACAAACAAAAAGCAAAAAATCCAATTAAAAAATGGGCAGGGGAGCTGAATAGACAGTTCTCTAAAGAAGAAATCCAGATGGCCAGCAGGCACATGAAAAGATGCTCCACATAGCTAATCATCAGAGAAATGCAAATTAAGACCACAATGAGATATCACCTCACACCAGTAAGGATCGCTGTCATCGAAAAGACAGACAACAACAAATGTTGGCGAGGTTGTGGACAAAGGGGAACCTTCCTACACTGCTCGTGGGAATGTAAATTAGTTCAACCATTGCGGAAAGCCCAAAGAAGGTTCCTCAGAATGCTCAAAATAGAAATACCATTTGAGCCAGGAATTCCACTTCTGGGAATTTACCCTAAGAATGCAGTGCTCCAGTTTGAAAAAGACAGATATACCCCTATGTTTATCGCTGCACTATTTAAAATAGCCAAGATATGGAAGCAACCTAAACGTCCATGTAGATGACTTGATAACGAAGATGTAGTGCATATACACAATGGAATATTATGCAGCCATAAGAAAAAAACAGATCCTACCATTCGCAGCAACATGGATAGAGCTAGAGGGTATGCTCAGTGAACTAAGCCAGGCAGAGATAGACAAGTACCAAATGATTTCACTAATCTGTGGAGTGTAAGAACAACGGAAAACTGAAGGAACAAAACAGCAGCAGAATCACAGAACCCAAGAGTAAACTAATAGTTACCAAAGGGAAAGGGATGGGTGGGAAGGGAGGGGTAAGGGTGGGGAAAAAGAAAGAGGGCATTATGATTAACATGTATAGTGCGTGGGCAGCACGGGGAGGGCTGTGCAACAGAGAAGACAAGTAGTGATTTTACAGCATCTTACCTCGCTGATGGACAGTGACTGAAGGGGGGAACCTAGTAAACATAATGTTCTTTCTGTAATTGTAGATTAATGATACCAAAATAAAAAAAAAGATAACTTGAAACCAAAATACAGACATTCTTGAATTTCAGAAAGGCTAGGAGGGAAAAGCAGTTAAAACTTAGAAATCAGTACTGCTTGTGAAATGACTAGGTGTTTTAAGGTCAGAATGGTAATGGTTGTGTATAAATGAAACACCTGTTTTTATTACATACATACATGTATATATAAGGTCCTAATATAATGCATGAGAATAGTGTGACATTCTCGAGGATTGGAAAGAGAACATAAAGACACTGATATTTTTTTATTTGAAGCTCTTCAGTACCTTTTAAAGGGATGAATGGGAAATAAATTATCTTAAGAATATTACTCTAAATTGAAGGTGCATCCATGTTAAACCCTGTTTCAGTTTGGCTGTTGGATTGGAAAGGTACAGCAGACTGATAGAAAAGCTAAAAGAATGTCAGGACATTTTCACTTAGAAAAGATCTGAGATGATAATATTAATCTCCATGTAATTGTAGTAGGGTAAAGCCTCTGTAACATACTAAAGAAGTCTAATTTTTGTTTTGAACTAGTCTGAGGAAAATCGTGTTCTCTTCTTTAGGTTTTGTGGTCCTCTTGATTTATGCAGTGTTCTACCTGCTAGTTTTATCATCATCACCATCTAGTAGTATTAAATGTCCCATGTAAATAGTCAATTTATTTTATTAAAAAAAGGTATGCATACTTAAAGTGTGTATATGGCATATTAAATATCAATTAGAGTATCTGGAAATAGGTATTTCCAGTGAATGAATTGCTTGTACTTATTGCCTATGTGTAACATGTTTAATCAATACTTGAATGGGGCTAGAATGTCAGTCGTCCACATTAATCTAGCTAAAAAATGGTTTGTGGGCAGAATTTGGAGTTTTGTATGTCTTTGGGGGAATGGGTGAGACTTACTTTGGTAAAAGCATTGTGCAAGAATGGTGGATTTAGTGATAATTGGCAAGGAATGGTAGGTTAGCCTGACTGGGAAGGTGAAAAAACGTGGAGAAATTGGTAGTAGACAGCTTAGGGGATTCAGATTTGCTTGAAGACTTAAAACAGAGAGGGAGGGAGCCACTTTGAACTAATAATGTGCAAGAATATCGTGTTGCTCATAGTCTGTGAAGAGGATTTTCCCCTTTGAAATACTACTATAGCACTGCTGGAATAGACTAGAAAAAAGGACGTTGAATTTTCATATGCATATATTCAGCAGCTCTAGTCTCTGAAAAGTAATGTGCTTGGTGCTGTGAGATCTCTGTAAATTGACTGATACTCTGAGTATCAGTGGCTCAAGATAAGAGTAGAAAAAGGTTAACCAAGGAATATTTTGGTTTTGCTATCTTTTCATCTGAATGCATTTTTTTTTCCTTCCAGTTTTTTGACTTTGTGAAGAACCTTACCATCAAAGACAATGGCCAGCAATGTTACCAACAAGACAGATCCTCGCTCTATGAACTCCCGTGTATTCATTGGGAATCTCAATACTCTTGTGGTCAAGAAGTCTGATGTGGAGGCAATCTTCTCAAAATACGGCAAAATTGTGGGTTGCTCAGTTCATAAGGGCTTTGCCTTCGTTCAGTATGTTAATGAGAGAAATGCCCGGGCTGCAGTGGCAGGAGAGGATGGCAGAATGATTGCTGGCCAGGTTTTAGGTAAGGTCTGGGTAGAATGAACATTTTCTTTGATTTTGTAATTCAGATCTGAAGAGTTTCTCTGCTCATGTTTCTCTTTTTCTCCCTTTCTCTCTAAAAGCTTAGCAGTCTGAGATGTTCTGGATGATGTTCACTCTAATAAGAGTACAATAGATTATAGGTACAGTGGGCTAAGAATTTTATTTATTATATCATTTTGTGTAGTAGACTGGATAATCCTTAGTTAGCAGTCTTGATTAAAGTAGGGAAAGTAGGAAGGGTAGTTCCTAAGGTACAGTTGCTGCCTACATGGCTGTGTACTACCACTTACAGTGGACTAGTGGAACACTGTGTGGCTTAGTCACTTATGGGCTGTGGAGTTGGATTGCTTAGCTCTGCATTGGGGCTCCACAAACCACTATGTATGTTGGGCAGCCCACGTAGCTTGGCTGAGTATTACATTTTCCCATCTTAAAATGGAGATAATAGTACTCAGAATTTACCTTTTTTCTACCTGAAGGAATAGTAGTTTGGATTGTCAAGAGCATATATAGATAAATTGAGGGGATTGAGATGATTTCTTAAAAAGCTAGTGTAAGTCCAGCATGTTATACTCAATAAATGGAACTTACTGTTAAAACAGCTGCATAAACTGGTTGTTATATTAGATATTAGTTACCCCAGTAGGGTCCTCCACTGTGGATTTAGCATGTTCAGATGTTGAGAAATGAGATCTGGGCTCTGCTTTGTTAATAGTCTTAACTACTTTGACAATCTCATTACACACTAAGACTGTCAGACTGCACATATATGTATATGTTCCTGGTGATTGTAGAATTTCATCTCCTTAAGTAGTTTTCTAATTGTTTATCAGTTTCTAGGATTTGCTGTCAGAGTCATAGTAATTTGATATAGCTTATATTTTATTTGTGAATATTAGGGAAACTGAAGTGTTCATAAGGAAGTCAATTCTTGTTTTTATGAATAAAAAAGAAAAACAGTTGTTTTGAGTACCACAGAAGGACTAGTTCCATTGTTGATAATGCATTGTGTGTACCAATCCAACAAATTATTTACTTTAGTTTATAGTACTACAGATTCATATTTAGATGATAGCAGCTCATAATTGAATGAATTTTTTAAAAAAATAATCCTGTGGTGGCTTAAATTTTTATTTTGTTTTCAACATTTTCAGGAGTTTGTATTTTGTTTTTTTTAATGCATAAATTAGTACAAAAAGTTTGCAGTCCTAAAATGCTCTTTTCCTACTTGGCTTCTCCCTTCAGATTGGAGTGGACTTTTCCCCTTAAGTATTTCCATGTTAGTGTTTCCCTATAATACAGCTCAAACTTCAGCATTGCTTAATGATTATAACATTAAAGAATGTTCACAACAAACTATGTTGTGTGGGGACTTGTATGACTATTTTGGACATTTAGTTCAGTGGCTTCTCAGTGACTGTTAATGACATGATAGCTGCTCTTGCATTCTAGAGTAAACTTTGTGTAATTTGTATTTCATCTATGAATGCTTCTCAAATGCTACTTTTAAAACCCAGTCCCAGTGAATTGGGAAGGAAAAATACTGGAAGCTAGAGAACCTTACAGTCATTGACATTTAAGACAGTAGAACAGTTGTAATTGACAGTAGTCAGATTTTCATACCCATGTTGTCCTATACCAGAGTAAACTCAATACAGAACATTGGCATCTATAAAATGGCTATAGCAAAAATGAACAGTTTTACTAGAGGTCTTAAAATGAAGTCAGGTTTTTTATTATACTTGTTAATTTTTTAACTAATGAAAATTTTCTAACATGAAAGTGGAGAGAAGAATGTGATGAACCCTATGCGTTACATACATCTCACCTAGTTTAACAGATACCAACATTTGACTAATCTTGTTTTTAATCAGTGTTTCTTCTGTTTTTCTTTTTCTTTTCTAGTTTTGTTGAATTTTTAAGACTTCAGTATGTATCTGGCAGACAAGCGCTTTTAACAAAATGCAAACCACGCTATCCTTACCAAACAAAAAAGTAGTTATTCCTTAATACCATCTAATATTCAGTATACATTTGAATTTCATTGCCACAGACTTTTTAATAACTGTTCATTCAAATTAGAACTCAATCTGTGTTCACATATTTTCTTGATTGCCTCTTAGGTATCATTAAATCTGTTGAGTTTCCCCATCCCTTTCTGTCCCATTTAAAAAATTCATGACACTTAATTTATTGAAGAAATTTTTAGTAGGTTCCACACTGCATACTGATTGATACCTTTTGTCATTTAATTTGTTCTTTTCTACCCTTACTTTGTGTAATACTGGTAGATCTAGAGCAGTATTATCCAATAGAAATAAAAGAGCCATGTATGTAATTTTAAATTTGTAAATAACCATGTTGAAGTGAAAAAAAATGGGTGAAATTAATTTGAATGATATATTTTAGTTAACCACCCAAAATACTGCCATTTCAATATGTAATTAGGTAAAAAATCCAGTGTGTATACTTCACTTAAAAAACACATCTGAATTCTCTCTCAATACATTTCAAGTGTTCAGTAGCCACTTGTGACTAGCAGCTTACTGTCTTGGACTGTGCAGAACTAGAATCATTTACATTCTGTTTTTTTTTTGGGTTTTTTTTGGTGAAAACACATCATGGATAGTGCTACATATTTCATATTGCATCACATCAGGTAGCCTAGCGTGGTTGTCCCGTTTTAGTGATGTTAGAAATAATTTGTGTGTTCATGATTTATGTCCTGACCCATCTGTGATAAAATTCCCAATCAGTTTTTCACTTTATGGTGATGACCCATTGATGATTACTTAGGTATTTCATGAGGGGTTGCAAAAGAGTGGGTTTTCTGATAACCTTCCGTGTTTATTAACTGAAACTTCTCTAAAATGTAGAACTTCTCATTAGTATTTGATTTTTATTAAATAACTTCACATTGGAAAGGCAGGATAAATTTTTCAGATCTTGCTGTAAATTGATATCCTAGCAACCTTTAAAATATAATCATTGTTTATGTCCATTGCACATCATTTTCAGAGCTCAGAATATTTCATCATTGGCAAGCAGATCACCTTCAAGTTGGTTCTTGTATTAATGAGACCTTACTCTTGTAATATTGCTATTGCATTGTTCCCTTATTTCTAGCACTACAAGATACTCCCAGTGATCTAGCATTTTTTAGTTAAATCTGGAATTTGCCATTCTTCCTAAAAAGCCTTTGCTCCTTTTAATGGGAGTTACTTAGAAACCACTGTCTGTATGTCAGGAATGTTTATTATTGTTATTATTGAATTTTAGTAGCTTCTGGCTACTTTCAGTGGGCAGAAGAATTACTTTTCAGGAAAACAAACAATGCACTTTGTCCCAGTTTCAAAGTAACCATACCTGTTTTTTACCAAAAAATACAATTTCAGATTTGAGGTTCTTTTTTACTAATACTCTGTTTTATTGATACTAATAAGTACTACAGTTTAGAATTATGTGAAGTAGTTCTATAAGGTTGTATGATCAACCTGATGGCTTAGTTTTATTCCTTTTTTTTTTTTACATTTTAAAATTGCTTTTTAAAAATTCTGTCTTTAGGTTTATTTGTAAAAAGCTCATGATTTCAAGTCAAAAGCAAGGTCGTTACGAAGAGATGTTAAAAATTAGAAATGAGTTTAGTGAACCAGTAACTCTGAAGATTATTCATAAAGGTAATGGTATTTAGCAAATGGACAGTACTGAAAAACTGGTCATTTGATGAACTGAGTTTTGGAGACCTGGCTCTTGGCTAGTTGGTTTTTGACAAATGGGCTCTTTTGTCAGAACAACAGGGAGAACTTGAACTCTTGTTTGCATAGGCAGTAGGTAGCAGGTAAGTACCTGGCCACTTTGAAAAAGTATTTTTAATATTGTATTGTATATGGAAACTAGGACTTCTTTTCTCCATTGCTTCTTTATTTCCCTGTTCTCAGGGTGTGTGTGTGGGTGCTCATGCATTTAAAGATTATTTGCTTGAGCAGTTCACTACATAGTACATATATACATATATATATTTTGGTATCATTAATGTACAATTACATGAGCGACATGGTTACTAGTCTCTCCCCATCATCAAGTCCCCACCACATACCCCATTATAGTCACTGTCCATCACTACATAGTATTTCCTAATAAGCATTTCTTAATGTAACTTTTACAGCTGATCCTGTTTGTAAGGGGAATAAAAATTTGCCTTTGGGGATAATTTGAGGGTATTATACTTCAACCATATTAATTCATGAATTGCCATGTATTTTACAAGGTCATTTCACTAGTTGCTACTCTATTTGTCCTAATTTTACAGTGCACACAATCATTCCTGGAAAGGCCACTTAACAGTCATTGCTACTTTTCTCCTGTGATGGTAATTGAGTGAGCAGAGTGGGTGATTTTAATGGTGAGAGTTTGGCTGAGGGTGATTGTACCAGAGACAAACTTAATGTATTATGGATAATGAACACTTTGGTACAGAACCAGAGGACAAAGGAATGGAAGATTTAAGTCCTAGCTTTGTAAAAATTCTAGATCCTTTTTTACATAATGAAAGATGAGATACATCATTAGACGGTTTGTTGTTCATATGACGGTAAACTTTAAAAAGCTGTATTTTGAGACATACTCCACAACAGAGTTGTCATTTAGATTTTTTGGTTTTGTTTTCTCAGATATTAATCTGGCTGCAGAGCCAAAAGTGAACCGAGGAAAAGCAGGTGTGAAACGATCTGCAGCGGAGATGTACGGGTCAGTACCAGAACACCCTTCTCCGTCCCCTCTACTCAGGTCCGGAACTTTATTATTTATAACTGCATTGTGTCCATCAGTGGGCATCTTCTCTATCTGTTTTCTGGATGTGGGGAGGGTTAACTGTAGTTATGTTTTATCTGTGTAAAAGTTATGCTTGTTATTCTTTTGTTAATAGACCTCCTGTTTGCCTATTTCCCAGAGAATTACTAGAATTCCCTGAGATTTTTACTATTAAAGACTAGTTTGGTATTTATAGAATAAATTGAAATCTTTTAAGAGTTGTGTAGTTTCTAAGAAACTGGGTAATAGAAAAGGAAAGGAGGGTGGCATAAAAATGTTTACTGTTGTATTTTTTTCAGTGTTGTTATTTTAGCCATTATGTGTTGAAGTTTTAGCTAACTTGAATCTAAATTTGCCATTTGGCTACTGCATGTCCAGTGGCTTAAGATGATTGGAATTTTAATGGTCTGTTGTTTGAATAATGGGGCTTATTCCATGCTTATCAGTTGGTCTGTTTGTTATGGTTGGTCTTGCATGGGTGTTCTTTTTTGTTTTGCTTTGTTTTCCCATCTGCTGTTGTGAATTTACATCAACAGCTCCAAATTAATCTTGTCTGGTATTTATTTTTCAGCTCCTCTTTTGACTTGGACTATGACTTTCAACGGGATTATTATGACAGGTATGTTAAAGGTGTTTTGTGTGTTCTAGTAAAATGCCATCTAGTGAGAAATGTTCTTTTTTGTTTTGCTTTGTTTTCCCATCTGCTGTTGTGAATTTACATCAACAGCTCCAAATTAATCTTGTCTGGTATTTATTTTTCAGCTCCTCTTTTGACTTGGACTATGACTTTCAACGGGATTATTATGACAGGTATGTTAAAGGTGTTTTGTGTGTTCTAGTAAAATGCCATCTAGTGAGAAAGTTTATTCCATTTTGTAGTAGTGTATAACAAACAAGTTACAGATACAGTCCCCCTTTCTTTCAAAACAAAATGAAAAATACCTTTCTTCAAATAGACAGAGGTAGGAGATGTAGAGTGACATTTCCATTGATTTCAAAGAATCAGTTTATATAGTCAGGACATTATGAGTACATATCCAATATTTTTGGACTTAGTTTTTCTTGAGACAAGTCAGTTTTCTTTTTGTTTTTATCTGTATGCCAACTAAAAGTAATGGCTAACTTACTTGCCTAATGATGAAGATGGGACTCAGCAGTTCTTTGTTCTCTGTTATTTCCATATTAGCTTTGCACTGTAGAGGATTATAGCAAAACAAAAAAAAATTCCATAACCTTAAAAATCTGGTAGTTTTTTGAACAAACCAACCAAGACAAAATAGGATATAGTAAGCATATTATAATGAATTAACAGCAAACATTGTTTTAGGACTTAAAGTGAGAAAATTTATAGGTAGAGGATCATAGTGGGTATAGTAAAGGTAAGGGAGTTGGGATGGTAATTATGATTTTCTTGTGTCTTCAGAACAGCATTAATTAGTATTTATTGGAGAGTTATGAGAGATAAAACTAGAAGATAACAGGGATAGTTTATGGATGGCTTTGAATGATGGATTTAGACCTGATGATGTAAGAATTTCTTTCGGGGAATGATAAGACAAAAAATTCTAGTACTGCATTGGCATTCTGATAGCATTGGTCTTGAACGTTAAGGAAACAGGTTTGTTTGGCTTGCTGCTTTTTAAATTATGCAGAATATGGAGCATACTCATACAAGAATTTCAAATAGCCCAGTCTCTGCTCTTTGAATAAAACTAAAAGCTTTCTTCATTTGGGCATGTTTCATGAAAGAGAAACATTTGACCTGAGTTGATAATAGCTCCTGGTAAAAAGAATCACAGCAGCTGGTAAAAGTATGAGCAAAGACCTGAATGTGCACACTTTATGTGAGAAATAGTGCTAAATAAGACTAAGGGTAGATAAAAAGGCCAAAAGAGTAAGGCTGGAAAAATAGTTTGGATCTACATTGTAAAGGTCTTTAAATGCCATATTAAAGTTGTGTAATTTGAGTCTCTTTCATGCATCATTAAAATAGTCATTTCATTTGTCCTTGGTGATTTCTTCAGATTTTTATGTTTATTTGTGTTTGAACACATACTCTGAAAACTAACGATTTTTGTGCTTTGGAAATAACTAAAATTTAAAAACAGGAGGAGACCTTAGAGTTGAGAGAACAGATATGGGAGTCTCCTGGTACTGAAAACTTGGTTGTTCGTTGAATGGCTTAAAGGCACTGCAACCTAGTGAGTTTGAAGCAGCTGCCTGTTACTGTTTCTGCACATAGGAATATCTTAGCCACATTGTCAAAATTCCATGCCCAGCTACACCTGTTGGGGTTCTTAATATAAATGATCTAAGTAGATCTTTTAATGTTGTTTTTTTAAAGCCGCCCACGGAATTGTAATGTCAAGGCAGGGTTGAGAATCATTGGTAACAAAGATTGAAGAAGTAGTTTTATTTCTGATTGTAATTCTGTTTCTTTTTGTGGCTCCTTTTAAAGAAATTCTATTTTTAAAAATAATTTTTGAGTTATCATTGGACTATAGCATAAGAAACTCCTTTTAAGTTGAGTGAATAGAAAATTTTCAGTGTACAGTTCTCCCTTCTTCATGAGAATAGTCCTCTAAAGTTTAACATTTAGTTGTCTTGGTGAGGCAGCAAAGCATCCCAGTATAAGTTGGTTTGGAATAAATTGTTCTTACTGAGGAATTTTGGAAAGGTTAATAGAAAAAGTTATACAGACAGCAGATGATTTGGATGTTTGCAGAAATATCTTCAAATTTCTTAGCATTGCTGTTTTGGTTTTAAAAATGGATGGCAGCACCACTGTTGGCCTCACTCTTCAGTTTTGCAAGAGGCAAGAAAATACCTTTAGTTACTCTGTATAGCTTGATGTTACAGAGTGTCAAAGGTAACGTCTTTTCCCTCCATCTAATTCTCAGCCATTAGAAAAAGACTGATGAGCAACCAGCTGTCTCAAGTACTTTACTGAAGTAGTACTGAGATGGGAAAATGAACAGTTTAGTCAAGAACGGGAAAACTGCTCAGGAAAATGATACTCAGTGTTTTCTCTTAGAAGTCACTTGGAAGATACTTTACTTACAAGGTTAATATTTTCATTTTTCTAGTTAATAACATTGTGATCCTAAGTCAACTATTCTAATATTTACTAAACAAAATAGAAAGTTGGCTCTGAGGTGCTGAAGGCTCCAGGTCTGCCTATGTAAATGCAGGTTAAATCAGTAACTAGTTAGTCATTTTAGTCCTTTAGTCCATATCCTTAAGAACATGAAATTCACATAAATGCTTCAAGACATAAATATGGCATTTTAAAAAAAGTTATGATTTTTAATTAAAATATAGTTAACATACAATATTAGTTTCAGGCATACAACATAGTGATTTGACATTCGTATACATTATGAAGTGATCGCCGCAAAGTCGGTATGCTCGCCCTGCAAAGAAACTACAGTGTATTATTTATATCTGTTCCCTATGCTGAACCTTTTCACCCCTGTGACTTACTTTATAATTAGAAGTTTGTACTGCTTAGTCCCTTTCACTTATTTTGCCCATTTACTCTCAGCAGCCACCACCTTGTTGCACCAATTCTTCAGATCATTTTTTATTATAAGCTTTCTAGGGATTTTGAGTTCTACTGCCTATTGTTTTGGTAGGGACGCAATAGGTAATGAAGCAGAGAAAATGAAGAATTCAAAGACTTGTCAATTACTGAAGTTAGGGCCAAAATCATATGTAGTCTGTGTTCGTATCCCTAAAATGAAAATAATAATGCCTACTTAACAAAGTTGCTATTAAGATTAAAGGAAACATGAAAGAACCAATTACATTGTAAATGACTCCCCAAAATGTTAGCAAGAACTCTGTCTTTTTACAGCATGAGGGTTTTTATTATCAAAATCCTCCAGATATCTTACATGCTGAAGTTTACTGAAAATTACACTTCTGAAATAGTATTTTATTAATTCTATTAAACCTGACATACATTGTTTTGTTGACACTAATTAAATATCAAATGAACTAAAAATCTCCAGCGTAACTAGGGTTCTTTATGTGTGACAACACTGTTACAAACTAATGCATAATGAAGTGAAGAATGGTTGGCATGCTTGTTTTCTAGGCATCCTTTTTAATAGTTATTTGAACCTTTTTTTTTTACTCTGTTTAATGAAACATTTCAATTCAAATGTAAAAAGAATAGTATAATCAGTAAAAGATGAAGACTTTTTATAAACATTACCACAATACCGTTTACACTTAAAATAATAAAATTCCTTAATCTCAGTAGTTTCTCATCTACTAAGACTTGATTTTGCAAGTTGTATTTTGTGTTTAGCATGTTTCTCTGCCAGCTGTGTTTGCTGCGAATTGGACAGATTTGGAGGCTTAATCAGATTTAAAAAGGCTTCTGTTTTCTTCCCCTCCTCTCCCCCCAACTTTTTTTCTTTCCTTTGGCATCAGGGTGTGGGAGGAGAGAACAGAATACTTCAGAAAGGTATTACGAACTTTAATCATTACCCTGACTTTGACAGAAACTTTAAAGAATGTAGGCATTGGGTGTTTTGTAGGGAGAAGCTTATATTTAAAGGTGGAGGATAATCATTTTTTTAAATAATTGGAAGTTTGTACTTAACTTATTTTGCAGTAAAGATTGTGAATACTTTAAAGCTGGAGGATAATCAAAGGTTAAAACTTGTACCCGAGTCACGTATATTTTAATATGCTGTCTTCTCAGGAGACAATAGAGGATTGGGTACCATAGCCTCAGTGCTGCTGCCTGCACTGCAGTTACGTTACTCGTTTTCATTTTGGGTGTGGGGAAAAGTTAAGAACTGTTAATTGAAATCATTAAAAGATTGCCTTCATTTGGAAGAATTTTTACAAGTTTCTGCTATTGCCGACTGGCAGAATTTTAGATTCTGAGTATTTAGAAAGGACTGCCAAGAATAGTATTCCTCCAAAGTTAACTGAATGTATTTGCTAATATTTTAACATTATCTGTTTCAGTGGTCAGATGATACATTGTAACGAAAAATCCAATTGATTGTTACCAAGTTCTCCATAAATTAACCTTTTCTAAATTCCAAAAAGTAGGCATTTTTGTTTTTAAGGCCATTCCCAGTGTTAGTGGGTGTTGGAAGTTCTTAGATGAATTGAACATAAATTGCCAGTATGTAACTACTTAGGTTTATTAATATCTTAGTATTCAAATATACTGTTAGGTCTGTTTCAGGTATTCTATAAACTCTGTCATACATAGTTGATAATTAACCCAAAGATTCATTGACCAAAACACATTTTCCTGGTTAGGATTACAAGCCCAAAAGTAGTTTTTTTTGTTTTAGCATGAGTATTCATGGGAGTCTATAAAACTAGGAGAGTTGTTTAAGGCACCCTTGCATGCAAAAAGTACTTGTTGATGTTGAAACTGATCATTTATAAGCTTCTGACAAAGATCCAGTTCCAGTTTTGTCCTGTTGAGAATCTTGTTGGCTTCTAAGAAAATTGTTGGAGTGGTTCTTGCTGGAGGACTTGTTGTGTGAGCAGTCATTTATTGTATTTTATTTTTTATTTTTCAATTCCTTTGCAGTGGTTTCTTTTTAAAACTCTTAAAATTTCTCTAATTTATTTAAAATCTCC